GAATAAGCTAAAACTGTTAGTCCTTTCAAGCTCTGGTGCGACTGCTGTTAGCAGAGAAGGGTTTTGTGCCCAGGTGAGAAGCAGGACACCACGGCTGAGGAGTAAAATGAAACCGATTAAACAAATGCAGAAAAGGTTTTAGGGACCTTTGCCATCAGGCTGAAAGAGATGGATGTGAACAGAGCAGAGACTCACGTACCCCTGCGTCAGCCCGAGGCATTACCAGAGCCTAAACCACACTAATTCTGAGCGTCTGGGTAGCACAAGCTTTTTACTTATTTCTCAAAAAGTTTGAATCCCCCTTGCCTTCAGAGCACACTTACTGACCCCGCAGCGTAGCCCAGCTTTGCTCCAGAAACCTGGTTTTCTCTTTACAGCAGACATGGAAAAATGACACCACCAGCAGCTCCACACCCAGGCAAGCAGCATCCATGTGGGGCAGCGTGGGGAAGCCCGAGGCTTCTCTAGACCCTCTTAGGCTTATTATCAGATAAAAAGGAAAAGAAAAATCCTCCTTTCTTCAGTAAATTCTCTCCTGCTGGTGCACTGACAGTTCCATTTATCCCGTTATTGTTGTTTTGGAAGGAGCTGTGTCAAGTGAAAGAAACAGAAAAAGGAAACAGCCCAGGCAGGGAGCCCGCAGCCACGGTCACAGCATCACCTCCTCCGGGTACCCACCAGCCTGGGAGCGCGGGTGACTAACGCCGCGTTCGGCAATAAATGTCTTGCTCAAACTCAATGCATTCTGTTGCCGCGACATGAAGAGATCAGGAGGGGGGCTTGCAAAAAGGAGCTGAACACCCAATTCACCTATTGTATCATTCGCTCAGGCATTGGGAAAAGTCAGCCTTAAGCAATGGGGGATGCAAGACAAGGTGACACAGGGAAGTTTTTTCAGCGCTGACTCAGGCTGCTCAGCTTCACACCAAGCTTGCAAGAGCATCACTAGAAAAAAATTTACTTAAATTTTTAAATTTAAATAAATAAATAAATAAAATAAAAAGCAGTAGTAGAGGCTAACCAGAAGAGGGCAATCATTAACCATTTTAAATGAGTGTGCCAAGCATTTGATGAGTAACTGGCATATATAGAAGGCTAGCAACTTATCTTTAACTGTACAATCAGAGAGGAAGAGGGTGCTCAGCTAGAAGCAACCACCCAATTCTCTTGGCAGCAGTTTGACTGCCAGAAGTAGCCCAGCTGGGGCAGACGTTCCTGCCCAAATCCTTTGGGCCAGGCAAGAGTTTCCCAATAACGTTCATCCACAGCAAGGTTTACAACATAATACGATGACACTGAAAAATTACCCTCCTGCCAGAGAGGGAGGGGGTGCTAACCCAACCCAGGCTGGATTTTTACTTCCCCAGAGAAAGATACGTGTTTCCTCATTTCCCAGCAAGCGCGGCACCCTGGAGGAGAGAAGGTTCCAGCACCAAGATTCATGTTGCTCTCCATGCCTCCGGTACACCCCTGCGCTCGTCAGGCACCTCACACATCCCTTATCACACCCCCAAAGGGAGGAAAGCACCGTCGCCCTGTGTTTGTGAGAGTGGGGGGAGTTTCAAGAGAGACTGCATTTGCTGTGTCTGGAAAGTAATTCAGTCTCAGCTCTAACCTAGTAATTAAGCACTGAAAATATCTCTCTTCCTTAAAAAGGAAGAAAAAGGAGAAAAGCTGGAGGGAACACAGCGAAGAAGAGAGCCCTGCTCCTCCCTCTGCGGCACCAGGGTGCCCTGTCCCTGTACGGCAGCGTTTACTGGGCAGAGTCTGTGTTGAGCCTTTGGCCCGATTCCTGTAGCAAAAATTAATTTTACAAGGTCAAGTACAGCCGATTCCCTCCTGGTGTGAGGGTACAGGTACCTGGCCAGCTTTTGCTTCAAAAGCATCTTTATCAGCTTGTGACACGGAACACGACCCCCCAGCTCGAGGAGCGAGACAGTCAAGGGGTAGGAGAGGGCAGCGGTGCGAGAGCGGACGCTGCCAGCAGCTCGAGTGCTGCAGTCCAGGGAGCATCGATAAGCGTCTCCGCTGACCGAAGCTGACACCGCTGGAAAGCAGTGGCTCAGATTACAAGGACCCAGACTTTATGAGTAGATTTATAGCTGAACAAGAGCCTTGAATTACCGTCAGAGGCATCAGGAACCAACAAACCCTGCCTGGCCCCCACAGCAAGTTATCCAAATCAGAGGCCACTTCCATTACCAGCTATGGTTCCTGAATGACCTTCAAGGATACCTCCTGGTCAGCTTTTTAGTTGTTTTAAGAAAAAATTGTACAAAGCCTTTCTTTTGAAAACCCTGTAAGCCAGGTTCCTACAAGGGCATAAGTGGACTGCAGTTTCCAGCTTTTCTGGGAAACGCACTTCTCCGAACAGAGCGTTATGGATACTGCACAGGTGAGCAAAGCCCAGCAGCATTCAGACAGGTTAACAGTATCTGAACATCCCCGGCTCATCACTACCATCATTAGCCTTGATCTCAGGTTTGCCGGTTTTGCCTTTAAGAATTCTGTTCTGCCAGTTCCTCATAGGGAGAATCCTTCCCAGTGTCAGCATCCTTGGTGAGAACCATCCCAGGAAGAGTCTGGCCATGAGCAGCACCAATAAACCATATTGAGAAAGAGATGCACCCACACGGTATCTCTTTGACAGACCTTTATTAGCAACTGTTCCCTACATGAAGAACCCGAGTTAGATTTGCATTATAACAATTTGTGGTTACAGCTACAACGATGGTTGTCATTTTGCATTGATTTTTGCATTCTGATATTCATATTCCCATTAGGCCACACTGGTAGGAAGGAGCCACCACTGAATTTATGACAGATCTCAAGAAGGGGGCGGGGGGAATCATATCACTAATCCATACTGGTTAGATTTCCATGTGGCTAATTACTGACAGCACTGGATAGACAAGGCAGAGCCTCACCTGGAAGGCTCTCCGTGAACAACCAAAATCTGTCAGGAAAAAAAAGCAGCTGCTGAGCGCTAGCAAATCCTTTTCCAATGTCTCACACACTTCTCCACAGTGCTTCCATGTGAAGAACACTTGCTCAGCAGCAGGGTCTGCTGATTCAGCCTCAAAGCACAACAGCAGCAGCTTGTGTCCAAGTGCAAGTTTCCTTCCATCTCTCGGGAAATTCGTTATTTTCTTTAGTCCCTGAGACTTCTCCCCTCCCCCCTTACCTAAAAATTCCCCAAGATCACTCTCAATCAGCCATTGTGACATCCAACATACACAGACCTTCTACTTCCCAGCTTCAGCCATCCACCTGAAACCCTTTCAGCCATGCAGAGGCAATTCCAAAATAAGGCGAGCCTCACAGCGCACCCTCTCCCCTCCTCCCAAGGTACTGCTTCCTCACCAGCTCCCTTCTCTCCTGTGGCTTCTTGCTACAGAATTTCTCTGGGCTGAGGTCCTCCAGCAACAACCCCAGACGTGGGAAAGGCAGCTCAAGCCCCAAAGGGAAGGTATGCAAGTGACTTTAGAGTCCCTCCCCACAACTCAGCTGTGTGATGTAAGAGAACAGATAGAGAACTTTTAAAAACAGGAGAAATACAAGCACAGTAACAATATTTAAACAAGTCTATAAAAATAGTCCAACATAACTCTGTTCAAATAAATACAAAATAAATATGCTTTAAGCAGTAAAACAGTGGAATGCAATGCTGGTCCATCTTGCCCAAAATGAAAAGTTGGATGAGGATCTCCCAGGCCTCAGAAGCCAGATCCTATCAACTAAAGTAGCCCATAATGCAGTCAGAGAAATTTTAAAGCCATCTCCTTCCCTTAGCCTTATGAAAAGCACCCTTTGAAAGAAAAGCAAGCACATCTTCAGGACTGAAAGCTCACCTCTCCCAGTGACAACCAGCCCCTCTCTCTAACACCCCTTCCCACAGCAGACATACTCCTGGCTTGGGGACTCCATCCCACTAATGCAAACCTGAACATCAATCTACAAAGAGGTCTAAAGAGATAGATAGCAGCGTAGGCACAGGGTTTGGAAAGGTCCACCAGCTATCCTTGGCACCAGGCAGAATGGAATTCAGAGGTCCATGCAAGGCTGCACAGGGGCTCTCATGTCGTGCTGGGAGCACAACTGCACAGGAGCTGTGAAATATTGTCTTTTGTTCACTGAAGCCATGCATCAAGGTGCCAGTCCCTCCAGGGCTCTCCTGCCTTCCCCCTTCCAAGCTCCTGCTGAGTATAAGACAAGCCAATCCCGGCATGCAAAGGATACAGGCATGCAGGCTCTAGTCTGCTGCTTCTGTTAGTAAGTGCATCTTGTTAGTGGATTTATGAGACACACTTAAACCTATAAAAAATAAATAATCCTAATTCTTCATCAGGCTGGCTTAAGTAACCTTCAGCCTGACTGGATAAACCACTGCCCACCAGCCCTCAAAACCAGTATAGTTTGAAGTTACATTTCATGTCAAGTCTCAGAAGCAGAACATGAATGTCTCCTACCCAAAGGAATATATGTAAACATAGTAACAAGCCTGGTGTGGCAGCAGCTCCTACACAAGGTTTGTACAAATTTAAACAAAGGGTAGGAAGTTAAACAACTGAATGGAAGAAAGCTCTCTGAATGGAAAAAGAAGCTCTTTCAGCAAGTCAGAAGGTGCTCATCTGCAGGCAAACAGCTCTGTACAAGCAATACGCTGAAAGCAGACCTGTTACCCAAATCTTTGCTACTCCATCATACTGCTGGGAACTGACCTCAGCACTTCATGCCTTAAGATTCTCTCAGGAGTTCACCTCCTGATCTCCCAAAAGGCCCAACAAAAAGGACCATGTGATGATTTATGTGGCTCTGAGTAGCAAGATGGCAAAGGACACCAGATCCTCCCTTCCCCCTTACTGACTCACAAACTATCTTAGATTTCACAGCTTTGCTTAGTCAGCTTAGTGTCAACACATTCACAGAATGAGAGATGGCTATACGTCTTGGGATTGCACCCCAAGATTTCAGAGTTCAAAGTCCTCGGCATCTCCTGGTCACCGTGACTGCACGCCCAGAGTCATCTTCAAGTTTTCATAAACCACATAGCTGATGCTTACAGCTGGGATCACCTTCATAAAGTTCGGTGCCAGACCCCGGTAAAGACCAAACGCTCCCTCTGTCTTCAGAATGTGTTTAAACAGTCCCCTCATCGTCACTTCAGGAGCACCCTCCACTGAAGCTGCAAGAGGGAAAGGCACAATAAGTCACGCAGCCTACGCGGTGAAAACACTTTAAGGTAACACCTGTCTCACAGAGCAGTTCTGATTCATATGCTTCTTGTGGATGTTCAGACCAGAGGCACTTCATGGGCAATAGCATCTAACTTCTCAGCAAGCCATGGTCATGCTGCACATCGCAACCATTTTCCCAAACCACTCTGCAAATGCCCTTAGCCCAAAACTCCTGATCTGAGCAAAACAGAACCGCTGTCCTGGAGGTGCTTCGCCCAGATGCTAAGGGCAGCAAAAGTCCACTGTCCTCTTACAGCATGGCAAATGGCATACTGCTCAGCTGCACAGGCCAGCTAAGGCTGCTGTTGCAACGTTTACACTAGAGGACCTTTACCCTGCTCAGAGACCATGACAGGAGATCCCACAGTTCCCAGAAGTTCTCACCTTGGGCCTGCATGCGTGTTCTCACGAGAGCCAGTGGGTAACTGGCAAGCTGTCCACAGGTACTGGAGATGGTGCCACAAGCCAGCAGAACAAAGACTCCAGGGTCAGCACTGTTGACAGCATAGCGTTGCAACCAGGCATTTTTTAGTGTCTGGAAGGAACAAGCCAGATGTTAGCAGTGAAGAGGCAATCAAAAGAATACCACATTACATAAAAGATCTAGCATAAAGGCCCAGAAATATGCAAATTCAGCCAGAAGCACCAGGCTTCTCAAATCTTTTTAAGCTACAGCTACTGTAGTGCCTGGGGAAAATCCCTTCTTTAATTTTCTGCTGCAATTTTCTCATAAAAAAGAGAAACGAGGGACCATGCATCATGTTGACTAGGAAAGGAGAATCACTGTACTGGATCGTCTTTCAGGCCATTTTGGCTAACAATCCATTTATGCCCCGTAAGGCTGATCAGGAAAGCTTTGATAAATTCCAGGTCTGACAGTGATAAAGCTACACAAGCAGCACAGCCCTACAACAGGTTAAAGGCTTCGTACCTCATAGACTGCCAGGTCAATACCAGCATACGGAATGATTCCTAGCATGTTGGGGATGTAGCCTTTGTAGAAGGCAGCCATTCCTTCCTTCGAAAGGATGTTTTTGGCACAATCCAACATGCCTGAATATTGTCCTGTCTTCCTTAGAGCCATGCGTGTTTTCAGAACCTAGGAGACAAGAATAAATACTATGAAGGCCTGCAGGAGAATCAATAGGAGAAAGACGTATAGACAATGTCATTCTTGGAGCATGACAGTCAGGACTACAGCAAGTGTGAGCCGTATTACCTGATACCATCTCTGAGAAGTCATTAAGCTATAATAGCACTGGTGTTCTACCCACATTTTCCCATCTCAGCACCTTGCCATGACCCCTCATGGGCTGGACTATCAGCCACCTGCCTCACCTCCATCGGGTAGATGCTGCTCTGTGCAATGGCCCCAGCCAGAGAACCAGCTAACAGCCGCTCATGAATCCTCAGCATTTCTTGGTCAGTACCAATGAACCGCTTGATCTGTAGAAGTCAAGACAGACAGACATTGAGGCTTGCTGACTTATCTCAACTGTCTTTTTCTTCCAGCATATTCTTCTGTAAACCCTTCTGCAGCCAGACTCGTGTCCCTTTTACGCACCTGCTCATAGGCCATGAACTTAATGGCAGACTCTGGTGCAATCTTCAACACGTTGATGCCATTCCCTCGCCACAGTGACCTTGGTCCACCCTCTCGGATCATTTGAGTAAAACCGCCAACAATGCACATGTTGTTACTGCGGGAGGCATGAACCTGGGACAGAGAGCGCAAGCTTGGATTAGTTCCAGTCCCGATTACGACAGTGCTACGTTATTCCATAATCCAGGGACAAAAGGGCGCTTTTTTTATTTACCCAGAGATTTGCCAAGGCTTTAATCCCTTCCAGATAACTTTTACAATAGGAAAGCAAGCTTCTTTTCTTTTTTGCAAAGTCTAGTGTTAACTAACGAATCTAATCAATATGTCCCTCTGGAATGGGAGGAAAGGTTAAATAGGGAGCTCCCATACCTAGTGTAGGATCAGCTTCCCAGCGTAAACTTCTCAGCTGGCTCAAGAGCAGGGGGAGTGACAAAGCAGACTAAAATTCAAGTTTTTCTAACTCCTTTCTAACGTTGGTAATACTCATACTGAGTACTACTAGCTCTGCCACTCAACCACCACAACCACTTCAACTCTCAGGGCCTCAGGGTCTCTAATGGGAACACAAGACTTGAACCTGTTTCACCAAATCCCAAGTTTTTCAGTGTTCTAAACCACAAAGCTCTCTAACTATTAACAGTTCTCACATGTCTACCTCCCAAAAGATTCTTTTTTTTTTTTCTAGTCAATGAAGAATAACTTTTTAACATGACTTTGATCATTCAAATAATTAAAAAAGCTTTCAAAAATAGCAATATAAGAGCAATGAGATTAATCCTGGCCAAAGTGCTATACTGTGTTGATGAACATTATCATCTCTTAGTGATCCAGAATATTAAAGGAATCTGCTTGGGTATTTGAACAAAATGGAACTGCTCCATCATACCTGCATGAGCACTTTCAAGCGGTCCAAGGGAGCTGTACAGGTTCTGGACACGGCACCTGCACCTCCACCTGCAACCAGATGTCTCCACCACATCCCTGTCTGTCTCTCTTCCACCGTGAACTCATCAGGGACGGTCAAATTCTCTCCTACATCAAAGATCTGCAAAAGTATAAGGTATTGGGAAATGTTTCATCAGCTAGTGATCTTGCCAAAATTGTATTGCTCTTTGTAAGTGCTAAGTGTTGAAGTACTGGATATCCTTATTCCAAGTCAGCAGCTTATCTATATCCATTAACTGCTGTTTCTGGCCACAGGAACTGCCACTGCTATAGCATGTCACAAGGGGAAACTTCACATTTAGAGAATTCTGTCCAAGGAGCTGTCAACTGCTGAACATTTGTCTGCATTAAAATGCTGTGGATCATAGCAAGGAACAAAATGACCAACTGCGGGCAGCTGCATGGCAAAAAAGATGGACCTCTCTGGAACGTTCCAAGCTCGCAGCCAGTTTAATCTTATTACATGCTATTTACACACACTGAAGTGTCTCCAGGAAGGACGGCTGCCTGTCAAATCAGTTTCTAGTCTTAACAGGTCCTGAACCAGCCAGGGCTGGCCACTGGTATGAGCTCTCGGAGGTGCAAGCCAAGTGAACACCCTTATCTTCTTGCAGCACCTGCAGTTGTTATCACCTGTGCCAGAGGCTTCGGAAGCCGTGCCAGTGATAGATGGCAAGATAACAGGACGGAACAGGAAGCAATTGGGCTCCTAGGGCTACAGGGCAGCTATTGAACCATGGAAAGAAAGATAGGGACTGCTGATAGCAGCTCCTGGGGGTCAGGGCTCTGACTGAGAAGATGGGGAAAGACCAAGGCCTGTTGCGGAGGAACCATTTCTTACCGTGGAGTGCTTCCAGTACAGGATGATCTCAGGAATGTTCTCCACTGGGTGCAGCAGGTGATAGTCTCGCCACTCATTCCAATCAATTGTCATTGTCCCATTCTTATCCATGCTAAAAAGATTTATCATTAGATGAGTACAGACTCCCACTGAGTGATGAATTCCTCCTCCCCTTCCCTTTGATTATTCAGGCCTATACAAAAAAAAAAGCTTTGCAAAGCAACTACTAAAAGACTTCTAGAGACACAAGACAAAGCTAGGAAATCTTCTATTCACTAAACACTGCAGAGATGTAGACACAGGCTCCGTTTTTCCTCCCCTCTCTCTCCCCTTTAACTGACCCACAGGAGTAGTTGCACCCCCTCCTACCAAACTTAGGGACATAACTGACACTGAAGGGAAAATAATACTTACTAGGTGACAGGACCCCAGAAGTGTCCCGTCCTTATTCTGACACACAGGCAAACAGACAGAGGGAAGGTAGCAGAGGAAAGAAAGAGGAAAAAACAGCACAAATAAGTGGTTGTTAACACGTTAGTGCCACATGCATAAAGCACTCAGCATTTCCAAAGGGCAACTGCACAGTCCCTCTCCAAAGCAGCAAGCTCAGGGCAGCAGGACAATCAGACAGGGGTGCAAAACAGCTCAGTTGCAAGCACTTCCCCAAAACAGCTCAGTAAAATAAGAGATTCTGACAGTAACTCTCCATAATGCATTACATTATAAGTGCCAACTAATGGGAATCAAAATTAAGAGTAATCAGCAAAAAGGGAGGAGCTGAAATCTCTGGAAAATGTGTACAGCATAGAAGGAGGAGATGGGTTCCATGTCCCTACACTTCCTTCTAACTCCCTCAACAGTAAAACAGAAGAACCAGCCAAATCCTGACCTCTTCAGTATTTTCTCAGCCTGCTGTTCAGAGATCTTGACTCCCAGGTCCCGAAGAGACTGTACAATCTCCTGGGCATCAATACAGCCTGCAAAGATAAGCCAGTGAGCTCAAGTATATATATTACAAGCAAACACACAAGTAGTCTATTCATGAGCATGAGAAAGGTGTTTACCATCATTCTTCTTATCCAAACTCTTGAAGACCAGTCTCAGCTTCTTTTCATGATCTTGGAGATAGTGAACAAATTCCTCAAAATCCAGCTGTCCATCCAGGTCCTTGTCTCCAGCCTTCACAATTTTCTGTTCAGAAAACAATCAAAAACTGTCAGTTCCTTTGCTCATTCAGACAGATCTGCCCCTTCTTCTACCATATTTAAAGATCATTTCCTACACGAACCAGAAAGTAGCCAACAGAATTATGATAACTCCTCAAAGAAATTTGAGGAAAGCAGTAGTGTAGAAAAGCCACCAGTTTCCAGGCAACCGTCTCCCAGAGTTAGTTACGCAGATGAAGTGCCTCATGCTTTTATCAGGGATAATCTGCTAGTATCATGTGTCTAATCTCAGTCCTATATCTTGATCAACACCTTACACAGCCCTTGCAGAGGTTCTTGAACTATGTATGAGGCAACAGATTTGCACAAAAAGTGAATCACAAAACATCAGGTAATAAAAAAAACTGAACAGCAGAAGGAATTTCATGCCTACTACAATTCTTAGAGAAGCAACCTCCCTCTGGCAATAACTAACTCCAACCAGAAAAAGCCTGTCCAGCTCTAGTGGACACAGCCAAAGATAAAAACCCCTATGAACTGGTTTAGGCACCCTGGAGCTATGTGCTTTAATTATGCGAGTTTCCATGAGATGCATATAGAGCAAGAAAAGGTTCTTAGTAGGACAAAGCTAAAATCAAGATCAGACTCCATGCCAGACATCTAGGACAAGGTAAATGACTAATTAACTCACTCCAGCATGGGGCAATAGAAGATGGACTGTTCTATCTAAGGGCACGTGGCTACTTGTTGACAGGAGAGGTGATCTCCAGGCTGCAAGAATGTGGCTCAGGGAGTTCCTATTCCTCTTCTTGTTCAATCTCTTGCCTTTGACAGCCTGTAAGTCTTTTTCAAGATGCATCAGTGAGCAACACTAAATGAGGTGTGATTCAGGCTACTGCATCACCTACATTTTTGTTTTAATTCTTGTAACATTTATGTGAACACCAGGTGGGTTGTTAAGGAAGCTCTGCACTGAGATTGAACACTAGGCTAACCCTCATCAATATTTTGTTCAATGCTTAGGCTTCAAAGGTAATAGGCAAACCTAAGCTTATTGTGATTTTTCCTCAGCCTATGAGCACAGTTTCCTTCATAAGTCTTTGTTTCAATGCCATTTTAAATGACTTCAATACTAAATACTTCACTCTCTCGTCCCACAAAGTCCTGCCTCTTTAGCCTTAACGCTATGAGGATTATTCCTAATAATTTTCTAAACCTTAAATAAGAAAGTGCTGTCCCAGCTGCCCTGACCTTTGAGGTGTGCCCAGTATTCTTAACCTGCAATTCATCATATGACTGTTGCAAAGTTCAGATGTGACCCCACATTCAACTTGTAGGCTAAAGATAGACCAACACCCCTCGCATGTCAGCAGATCAGCCTTGAACAGCTGAATCAGGGCTTCCCTCTGACTGGCAACCCTCAACCAGGTGACAGGCACTAATAATTCAGAGGCGCTGTAAGAGAGACGCGACCGCGCAGCAGCTCTCAGCACGCCCCTAACAACCGCAGAGGTGATCAGAGACCGCAGGTAGCGGAAGCTGCCTTGCTCTGCTAGCCGCCATCCTCCACGATCACAAAGCAGAAATGCTGCAAGCCTGTTGAACAGTGACCTGCAACACATGTGCGAAGGGCGAGAAAGCCAAGCTCCCAGCATCTTCTCCAGAGAGATGAACAACTACCTGCCTGCAGCTCTTTGCCTTTAACAGCTAATACTAAACCTCCGAAGACAGAACCGGTCATTGACAGCTGTGCTTGCTGCAGTCATTTCTATGGCCACCTGCACAACACGCAGCCCCCGCAGCATGCTTTGGGACCCCACACGTCTTGACGGCTGCTACAACCCCCTTTTGTGTGTCTGCACAAAGGTATAAAAAGCCTACCCAGCTTTGCTGTTCAATAATCGGCTGTCTGGGCTCTTGACAGCCTGGTCATGAACATCACGCCAGTGGCAGCAAGCTGAAAGCAAGGGCCATGATACGGAGTCGGACGGAGCTCTCCGCAGATTTAGTGCGTCTCCCTTCTGCGGCGAATGGAAAAGCTCTCGCACAACCCCCCCCAAGGGGCTCAGCCCACCCACCGCTGCTGAGCCGCCCTCCGGCTCACGGCACAAACCTGCCCACCTTCACCGCGGCGAGACCTGCATCGGCTTGAGCCGACATTAGATCACACACCTCCTGTAAGAAGGGGGCCGGGCGGAAGGGTGTAAGAAGGAAAAGGAAGAGGATGTGAAACGTATTTGAGCAGACCAGTTAAAGCTAAGAATCCATAGTTTGGAAAACCCCTTCTTCTATTTAACATGCATCAGGTCAACTGGTTTAAACAGTCTTAGAGGCACCGAGATCTCATCAGATTCAAGCCAAATAAAAAAGAAAAAAGTCCACTCCATGCTATATTGGCAATCCCTGCCAAGGGGCAAGGGAAACACGTCCATGCTGTACCCAGCTATTACGATGGAGCCGTCATGATCTTCTCCCCTTCCAACCAGCCACTCGGTGTTGGAGACCACCCCTCCATCGCTCACTCCCTCCCGTTCCTCCCTCGGGGCCATACCTGCTTCCACTGGCGGTAGGTGGAGAACTCCTGGGAAGGAATGAAGAGGCTGAGTCGGAAGATCGATTTGAGTTCGGCCGGCAGCCCCTTTGACTCAAAGTATTCAAACTCTGTCTGCGACTCCCCAAACACCGGCACATACAGACAGAGGCAGAGCATCTTTCTGAGCCGGAGACCCAGCTGCCCTGCTCAGACCGACTGGGAAGGGAAGTAAAACCGAGCGATTCCCCTGAGCTAATTTCAGTGCGTAGTGGAAAGGAAATGCCAGCAAGTCTCATGACACATGCCTATGAGCGAAGCCGGCTCCGGTGGGATTGGCTGTACAAGCCCTGCCCTTCTACTTAAAAGGGAAGCCGGCCGCACAGTCCCACCCAGCAGGCACCAGATCCGGAGGAGGCATGTCAGCTGCTTCCCCATTGCTCAACACCAGGCTCCCATTAAGACTTTACACCCACACTCACCGCAAGTTAACTCTTACTGGGCATCTCATTTAACCCAAGAGGCTTTGGCCAATATCCAAGACGGTCACTCGCTGTTCCTTACATCCGATCAGTCCTTTCCAATCCTGTGCTCACCGCTCCAGGGATTTACACACGCAGCACAGTAGGGACCAGTCTTGATCATAACCTCTCCCCTCCAGCACAGGAGGGCTTTCACTGCCTTCCTCTTCCCAAAATTCTTCCTCTAAAACACAGTAAGAGCAGGATGCCAGCCACTTACGGCTCTCATACATGTTTGGGATATCCAGCTTATGGAAAGCCTTGAAATTCACTTTTATAAGGTTACTTTGCTATGCCAGAGTTGACCAGCTTTGGTTGCAAATTCTCCCAAAGACATTTGTGCCAGCTAGGAGCAGGCAACTGCCACATACCAAGATCTCCTCTACAGCGCTCCGGCGTTACTAACACAGGCAGCAAGAAAGCCTGTGGAGAAGGTTTGCCATTGTTGTACCAGATACCCAGAAAGCCACCAAAATCAAGGGCAGGCTTCAAAACAGACCCAAAGGCTTCAAGGCTCCTAGCTAAGCATCCGCACAGCAATTACAACAGCTTACTAGTTCTTCCTCCTCTCCCAACTCCAATTAAACATTGCAGTCAGATATGCATTATAATGAGAAGCAGCCTGGGCAGAACAACATTTTCCAGTTTCTACCATTTACAATTTAACCACTTTGTAAGCGAGTTCCTGAGCTTTCATCAGGAGCAAGCCAGGCTGAAGAGGGAGTGTGGCACACACATCATTTAATGAGGATATAATTACAGGCTTGTGAGTATTTAGTGGAGTTTGATGTATGGGAAAACACCTAGCACTACAGTGAGGGTACGAAAGAAGTGCAGCAGGTAACAATACTGCTCAGTACAGAATTACTGACTGCTAACATGAATTTTAAAACAAAGTGATAGCTTCTCTTTGACAAATACAGACTGTCATGCAAGGAAGATGCAAAAACCCAGAGCCAATAACTAAAACACTATAATCCTGCCTGCACTTGAAGTAACACAGCATGTTTGCTCAACTGGTTTAAGCCAGTCCAGCTAACAGCTTTCCCCACCATTGCAGACACAGCAACATTTTATGGTGTTTGCTCTATTTAAACAGACTGCCTGGACGTGCAAAGTCCAGTACGCATTCCTCTCCTCAGATCCTAATGCACAAGGGGCCTTTACGTCTTTACCCTGGTATTTTGTTCTTTAGATTTAAGGAAAAGCCAAGGTCTGTAATAAGCTGTTTGTGGAGCTGCATGTCAGTCACACAAATTGGGAATATTTAATCTGGGGGTTTATTTCAATTTTTTTTTTTTAAAAAAAAAAAGCTTAATAGATCACAACACTCAGCAATTTGGTACCCTTGAGAATCATGACCTACAACAGCTTCCTACGCCCTCCCCGACACCTCACCTACCATGGCACTACTGCTGCGTTACCTAACCAGGCTTAACCTACTGCCTGCTGACGTCTCTCCGCACGAAAACAGGATCTTCTCAGGGACTCCAGATCCTCTTAAAGATCAGCTGCAGCAGCTCACTGCATGCATGCCAACAGCACGCCCCAGCCTTCCCACCGAGCTGCGTCGCGTTTCAAGCGGCACCCTAATGCTACACGCCACCAGCAAAAAGCAAACGCCATCAGCAGCCTGACCAAGGCGAGCTGCTCCCCCCTGCCCAGCTCCAGGTAGTAAGTGAACAAACGTAACTCAGCTTTGCCCCACCAAGCCTTAAGATCCTCCATAGTCCTTCCCACGAGTTGCCAAGCTCCACTATTATAGCGGCTTGGCAGCTCCGTTGCTATGCCAACATGATGCAAATTTTTCCTAATAAAGTCTGTCTGGAGTTGGCAGCTAGAGACAAAAGGCAAAATATGCACATTTTAGGAAAAAAAGCCCTACTACCTACGTCAGAGGAAAGGAGAAAGGTAATGAGGTTAAGAAAGCTGATTTTAAGCAGGGTATTAGTTACAGGACTGTGAGCTAAGCAGCAGAGACAGATTACAAATGAAGTTTATACCACCAATTCTGGTTATAATGACATAGGGAACTTAAACAGGCATTAAGAAGTATTTAGATTTCACCTAAAAGAATCCCGGTAAACCTAGAAGTACTCAAAAGCAAGACACCTCTGCAGAGCTGCAGGGATGAGTGCTGCTTGAACACAACTAGCAGGGGGTCACCGCCCGGGCC